GGCAGACCTGCACAATTGCTTTTGCCACCTATGTGCCCCTCAAGTGCTGCCACTGGAAGATTAGTTTCCTTTGCTTCAGGTATGAATCTGCAGAAGCTGATAGATACAATGTGACGAGATGTCACTGATGTGGGAGAGATAAATGTCAATTTGATTGTGATGGAGGGAGGACATTAATGGATAGCTTTATTTGTCACTTTGAAGCATACTGATGTTGTAGAGGAATTGAGAAAGTCAAAAACTTTGCTTTTGCTTCATGGAATGTGGATCCTTATGAAATATGTTTGCATTAATATAATGTTGCAGCTAGATCTGTCTTAATATGAACAAACAGGGAGGCTCAAGTTCCATTTCGTTTAAAAATATGCTTTTCTACAGTTTTGGGCTCTACATGCAGTTTGGAGGCTTTGAATGGCTTAATGTCCACTCCCTTTGCTCTGAGGGTAGATAGGGAATAAGTTATATGACCTCATATGTGAGGAAAACTAAACTGACACAAAAATTAAAATAGAACCCTAAGTTTGTGTGCTCCACCTAGCACTCTGACTGCCCAATTTCTCACCTGCCAAGTGGTAGAGATATTAATACAGCCTTAACTCACTGAGTTTTTGTAAAAATAAAACAAGATGATTTATATGAAAGCCATTTGTGGGCTTTCAGCACTAATAGAATTTTCTTAAGATTTTCCAAAATGAGTACAAAAAGTTCAAAATAATTTCTCAAATTTGTATGAAGAACAATGTTGAATGAGTCAAGCAGGTTTTTTTTGCCAGGCAAATCCTATAAGGAAAATGTAAACATTAAACACAAATTCCCTTCAAATCCTACTTTGACAATAAAGATAACATTTGGCATAATGATTCCGGTATTCTAAATCACAAAGGCAAAAATAGAAGAAAATATCAGTTCATAAATGCAGATGTGAGCTACCTCTCAGACTTCAGGACTGCAATGATTTATTTTACATTTAGATTTACTCTTGCAGAAATTCATTGCTCCTTACTGGTATTTCATTTAGTGAGAATTAGTTAATGAATAAGAATGGTGCTCACCTTCCTTTCATGAAGTAAATTTTATCTCAAAATATTGGGAGCAAGATGAACTTGCTTTGTCCTAGTCCCTAAGAAAACATGTACCTTTCTTCAAATATGTTTAGCTTCCACTCCAGCAAAGGCAAAATAATTCAGAATAGCAGAAATGGTGATTAATTTCATAGGGAGATAAAAGTATAATAAATTTCTAAACTGGTTCCGTACATCTGCCTTTGTACTGGACATTTCTAAATTCCCTTCTTAAAAAGAATAGGACTCTCACTTGAGAAACAGAGGAAATTAGAGATGGAGGACAAGCCTGAAATTACTATCCTGGAAACAGTGGCAGTGGCACTCCTACATGAATAAAAGTAATTAGTTTAACACGGTGTCTCCTCCTGACAGTTTTCTTTTCCTTTTTGATGTAAGCAAGCCCATTTCCTTCACTGTCCTAACTCATCGCAGGCGTCATTAGAACCACAAAGCACAAACTGCTGGATTGTCTTTTCTGCCCGATTCAGCTCTCTATTCAGAGACTTCAGCCAGCCTGCAGGCTCGCGGCATATTTAAGCATTCAGCGCTAGGAAAGAGTGAGCCCCTGTTTTATTTGTTCTCATTCTAAATCCTACATGACTCCGATTACATTGCAGATGGCTTGAAGCTGTCAAGGATAAATACAAGGGTTAAAGAAACCAGTTGTCACTGGGAGTGGACTACAGAAAGAGCGAGAGTCTAAAGGCTTCTTTGTTAGCCCATCACCGAAGTGTCTTGACTCCATTCAAATTGTGTCTACCTTCAGAGTTTCTAGGTGAACTCTTCCCGCCTTCTGTTTTCTTTTGTTTTGTTTTAGTTTGTGTCATTTTTCTTGATGTGGAAAATTTCTGTGTCCTGAAGAAATGCTTTCACCTGGGAGTGAGGTAAACACACTGTACCCTGTTTTGCCAAAAGAGGGCAATGTTGCTGTTCAGAATTTCTCATTCTGTTCCCTGGGACCTGGTCTCCAGACCGGTAAATAATCGCCCCTGTCTCTTCCCTTTCACCACAGACAAGTTTCCACATGTCTATGCACTCTGTAGTTAATCAGGACTTTGTAACTATCTGTCCTACCTATTAACTGCATCCACTCCCAAATTGTTTAAAGGTTAACACATTTCACTCCATGCATGACTGGCACTCACAAGCAAAATGCTGTTTCTGAAATTCTTAAGTCTTCCTTTCCATTTGCGAGTGATGGGCAGGAGGTGAAACAGCCTCTTTAGGAAATAATTGAAAGACATTTTTACTACACCCCTATTCTCAAATATTCTGTTTGAGTGTGTGATCCAGTCATGGGCTTCATAGGTAACCAAACTAAAAATAAAAGGGGAAAAAGAAAAACCTGTTCATTTGCAGTGGATTTACTTCAAAATTATGCATTTTTTAGTTAAAAAGTGATTCAAAATTAGCACCAAGCTGTTGATAATAATCCTGATAACTGGCATAGAGCTTATTTTGTAGGGAGTGGGGGACTGGATTTTAAATGCTTTGATTTTAAATCATTTACCCCACTGTGAATTCAGGTTTTTATATAAGTTGTTTACTTTAAAACACTCTAAATTAGTGAGCTTCCTTTTTCTTAAAAAATTGTTGCGTTGTTCCCTTTGACAGCTTATTATAGTAATAGATTGCTTCCACCAATTTTTTTTATTTCTTTAAAAATCATAATTTAGTTATTTTCTGGAAGCACAATTTAGATTTTCAATGGAAGGTTGGTTTGAGTAGCAGAATTCCTGGAGTTTGGGTTTTTTTTTTTTTTAGCCAAGGAAACAACTCTCAGTCTTTATCAACACTCTTGTTTGTGCTATTGCTCTCTGAAGCAATTGACAATTTAGCTGGACCACCTTAGAGTGCTACTAGAGCAAACTACTCTTGTATTTAATAGACCCACGATAATAAATCCAGTAAGTCCTTTTCTTACAAATGCATGTATGTGTTTATATACTTTGTATGTACACACACATGTTTTCATTTTGGTTTTTCAGTTGAGTTATATTTAAAGTTCATTCAAAGAAAATGGAGACATTTTCCTTGAACATTAGACATTGTGATTTCATTTTCTAGAAACTGCAGCCAGGTGTTTTATCAGAACCAACAGTCTATAAATATGAAAATTGCAGTTACTAAAATTAAAAATACACTAGGAGAAAGGAGAATTTAGGATGGAGTGGCAGACTCTTGGAGCAACATTAGTCTTAGATGGGCCCCTTGGTTTTTTTTTTTTTCAGTTTCTGAAGTGGTCCGTGTTCCCATATTTAACTGGGTTTGAAAGATTTAAGTAGAATTTACCATCTCTGGAACATCAATAAAACCCATAGAAAGCTGTGTCTGCTGTAGGTGGTTCCAGGAAATCCTTATTTAACATTGACTTAGTTTACTGTGGCTCGGCTTTTTCATTTCTTCTGAGTTAAAGCTCGCCATCTCATTTCTGCTTCCTTCTACATCTGTCAGTATATGTACATGAGAAAGTCTATGTTATTAAAAGAATAATAACCATATTGCAGGTTTCTGAACCCAAGATTGTATTTTCTTTCTCAAATATTCATTAAAAAATATAGATTGTATTTTATTGAAAGTGCTCTTTAATGAATAGTATTTCTGTTTGCGTACAAGAAGGAGCTTCCAGTGCAATTCCCTGACAGTAATTGTGGTCTGAATTGAGAACATACAGTAACAGAGTACAGTTAATGGCCACCCTGTGGATTGAGTGCTCCACTTTTGTCATATCTGGCTACTTTTTAAAATGCAGGAATTAGTTAGGCCAATAAAGAGTTAATTGTGTTCTTGTGTCAGGAAACCCTCATTGAGCAGAGAGAGGAATTCTTTGTCTTTAATGCAAAACAGAAATTTCAAAGACCCTGGCAGATGATAATATATAAATAGTAACTGAGCATCTATTGTGTATGCGTGTGTATGTGTGCACACGCGCTGTGTATAATGTAAGAAGGGAAAACCCTCCAATAAGTCAGCACCAATGTTAAGGAGCGCTGAATGAGTCAGTGGCCCTTTTCCATACAGCTAAAATAAATAAACAGAACAAAGCACTTTTCTAGCCACACTTCATCTTTCTACTTCTATCAGTTAATTTCATCTCCGATCACCTGATTTTTTTGCTAACATGTAAAAAAAGCACTTTGAAGTAAATAAATGGCTCCTTTGTGTGAATATGGACCTCTCCATAAGGGCCAGTCCAAACAGATATGTTCATAAATAGATTAAAATGAAAGAGATCAGGATTACAAAGATAAAATAGATGTGGGTGTTTGTAAGATTTGGAGAAATTGGAAGCTCATAATTATTTAAATTTTCTGATTTGTTAGAACTTGAGGAAGAGTATTTGTGTTTGTACAATTTACAAAATATGTGACACATATGCACACACATGCACACACACACTCATAGTGATCTGGATAACATCTTTGCCAAAGGGAATTTGCTCTGAAAAGCAAAAGCCAACATAAGCTAGAACAGATATTTCCTAAACCTATCCAGGCTTTTGTGAAAAGAAAGATAATATGTATTATCAAAAGTCTTCTTGGAAAGCGAGAAAATCCTTTACAGGTGGAGCATTTGATAAAATTCCTCAGCTAATATTAGGGTTCCACACTGAAGGTGAACAGTATATCAACCGACTAGCATTGCTCCAGCACCACCTGATCTGTCTAGAAACACATCACTAAAGATATTTCAGTTTCTTGTAAGTTTCCACAGCCTGTTTGGTGACCAAAGATTTACACCTCCTGTGTGGTGCTGGATTTGCAAAACCATGACGTTTTATAGTATATTTGAAAAATCTGAAACTGAGGTTATCTTGAGGACCTTATCATTATAACAATGTGGAAAATTCAGTTACAAAAGCAGTTATTTAAAGAACTTGTCCACATACTGGTTTTCTTAATTTTTTTCTCTGAACTGATTTTGTTTTCCTTTCAGAATTGACTACTTGATTGGACAGCCTAAATTTTCACGCTCTTTTCAAGAGTAGATCTCGCCAGGAGCACACTCTCCTTGATATGTAGCACAGGTAACCCTATTATTCATGTTTGAGCTGATAAATTAGAAGAACATGCACAATATTTGTTGTGATGAAAAGCTTTTTGTTTAATAGTTAAAATATTTTTCAAGCAGCTTTTTTTCCCTACCTAATGGTGCAATTTTATTTTGGGTAAGTGAGTTTAATTAGTAAACCAATTGATTTTTTTAAGACCACACTTAGCATGATAGAATCAGCATGGAGCAAATCAGATTGTGTTCTCATACTTCATATGCATAGTGTCCAGTCAAATTCTGATCTTCCAAACCACAGGGCTGAGGGTGAAGCAGTAAGAATGTGACATTATTATGTTGATGGAAACCTGAAGTCTTGTTTGGACCTTTCACTGCATCATGTATGATATAAGTATTGGCTGCATTGGAAATAAAAAAAGTATAGCAAATAACTCACACAGGTAACCATACAAAGTGTCCATTTGGTGGGCAAAGTGGAGTACTTTCCAAATTCGGAGCAGTACATTGCACCAAAGTAAATTTTAGGTTTGTCTGTACCTTTTTGAACCAGCATTCATTGGCAGTGAAAGTGTTAAATGAGATGTGAAGACTTTAAAAAATGTAATTGTGATGTTTCAAATATTTTGGCATAGAGCCTATTGATGTCATCATTTCCATCTTTGACCAATGGTATAGGTGTTTGCTCATCTCACAGTTCTTTTGAGACAATAGTATTTTTAGAATTGAAATGGGCATTTATATTCTATGGTATATTAACTAGATGTGTGAATTGATTAGGAAACAAAGAGAACTTTCCATTTAAGAACCAATATAACTTGTGACTTATCAGAGTTAAGAATAGGTCATAAACAAAAATTATACTTTTCTTCAGTATGATTTAGAAGAAAATTTCAAAAAGATGTTGCAATAGAAGGGGAAACTATATATGTGTGTAGGGTATGTATATAAAAATATATATATACATACAATTTTATTTTATTTCGTTTTTGTTTTGTTGTAGCATTAGTATTCATGCTTGGAGTCATTTTAAATTTATACATAGTTTACAATTTCTTCCTCAGTGACAAATACAATGTAGGATGCTTTGAAGTACTGTTATCATAGTGATCATTGTTTTTAGAAATCATGGAACTTTTTTTAATACTTTACTCAATTGTCCTCAAAAATCTTCTCTCACAAATTCAAAGTGACAACCCAGTACTACATTCATTCATATAGGTGGGTTTTCACTCCAGCCCCATCCTTTGTGAATAGATGTAAGTAACATCAATCAAGTGTGTGTGGATGTTGTTACTGTTAGTGTTATTTTATTTCTAAAAATATAATGATAAAAAAGTGGAAATGACCATATTAATTTTACTACTTGTAGCAGTTTATACACACTTATGAAGCAGAACAAACATTAACTATCAATACCAGTTGTCTGTTATAAGTAGGTATAGAAACAACAGCAAATAAAACCTATTGCAGTTATTAATCTGTCCTTCTGTCAATTTCTGCTCCAGACTGTTGTGATTTGAAAATCCTGTGCAGGACATTTGCATCACAAGCAACAATAATATGTCAGCAGCCAGAACCCATGATGCCATTTTCCTAAAGAAACTTTCCTTATACTCCAAGTATTGTCTGTTCACAGTTACCTAAAAATTCACTCTTCAGGATTCTGAACACATACCCCAAAAATTTATCTGGGCATACAGACTTAGGAAATCACTGCTAAAAATTAAAATGACACTTAAACATATGTGTTTCCAGAATACAAATATACCAGTATCTGGTATCATGGAATTAAGTGAGGCAGTTATAGCTAAAGTATGTAAACTTGCAGTGATCTTTATTATCAGCCATATACTAATGAGCACACTAGCATGATTCCCATTTGCTAAATTTGTTAGTTTATGTGATGGTTTTCAGGCTCAAATTAATGTTGTGCCAACGAAATTATAACTTGAAAATTGAGCCAGATTTCCTTTAATAGATCTTTATTGAAGTAGAAAAACAACATTTTTAAGTGTTTAGAAGAGGCACCATTCAAGAGATCTGAGTGCATAACTGGGGTCCAGGACTGCTGTGTCCCAACATTATCATGACATTGTCTCATGTGATTTCAGGTGGCTCTCGAAACTTTTCTGTGTTTTCATGCTCGTAAATAAACTGAACTAATACTTGTATGTAAAACATTCTACCATCTCTAATAAAAGGTGCAAGGAGCTCTATGTACACCTCTTCAGTTAAGTACAAATATACATTGCCAATTATATAAAAATAATAATAATAACCAGAGGATTACTCCAGATGGAATACAAATCAGTTCCTAAAATGCTACGTTGGATAATATTTAACCTGAAATACAAGGCTTATGTAAAATAATTTAATGCCTGGTCAGGTGCTGAATAACACAGTGATTATTAACCATCTTGAATAGAAATATATTTATATAATGCTTTATTCTTTCCAAAATCTCTTCATTTACATCATCTCAAATCTAGCACATATCTCAGCATCACATAAATTATTCCTTAAAACCTATCTATCTTGGCAGCCTAAAGCGCCTCCGTTGTTTCCTCAGCTTTTGAAACTGATTCCATGAGCTACAGTGAAAATCCAACTCATAACTTTACAGGTTCAACTCATATATACGTTTATGGTGGGGATTTATTTCTGAGGAAATGTATTTCCCTAACAGTTAGGCAGGGAGGCAATCAAGTTCTAAGTAGCCACCCAGAGGGAGTGAGGGCTAACTGCTGTGTTTTGTGTTCCCTGGGTAATACTACGAACAATGAACAATGGTATGATGGCTATGCTATCTTGACCTGCTTATCCTACAGGATAATCAGTCACATGGTTTTAAAACTTACATTTTTGGTAGGGAATCATACATTCTTATTTGCATTTCATCTAAATTCATCGCTTGCCCCTTGCATTTCCTACCATAAAAATAGATCAAAAGTTCCATCCAAAAATACATCATCTGGGGTACCTAGGCAGGGAAATCCCTCTTTTCCTCCTACATTGATCTCTGTCATTGCTGTCTGATGGGTCAGCCAGAGATCCTCATGGAAACAAATGCTTACATGACACAATTGGTGGGTTTTGCTTTTACACTCACTGCAGGGTTGCTTGTTTCTTTGTTTTGATTTTGATTTTTACATTAAGGGAAACTTGTTGACCTCTTAGATTTCAACAGCTCGTGGAAAACAGTCAGGTCTCTCAAACAGAGATATCCAGGAGACATAAAAATAACTCAATTTTTTTTCTTTTCATTTCCTGTAATTTCCCTCTTTTACTCAACCTATTTTTCTTCCCTTTTTTGTAATTACAGTACCTACATCCTAAATTTGCAAAGAGGATTAAATTGGTTGATACATGCAAATTATTAATAATAGTTACTGTTACACAGCAAATTATCAAAAACATTTGGTTGCATTATTTTTTTTAAAGATTTATTTATTTATACAAGCACTGGGTACAGTCCGAAGCACAGAAGGGTGAGAGAATTCAGAGCCAGAGAGGAGAGCAGAGCAGGCAGACAGGCAAAGTACACTGCTGAGGGGAGCAGCGGGTGGCAGGAGAGGTCTGCGCACCCTGTGGGACCCTCGCCCAGTGGCCGGGATGGAACCAGCGCTGCAGAGGCTGCGGGCAACTTCGCAACCCAGCGCTCAACCGCTGCGCCACCGGGGAGGCCCTAGGTTGCATTATTTTAACTGTGCAATATATTAGCTTCCTAGGACAGCTGTAACAAAGTACAACAAACTGGGTGACTTCAAACCACAGAAATGTATTATCTCCCAATCGTGGAAGTTGGGAATCTGAAAGAAAGTGTTGGGTTGTGAAGGGGGACAATGTGCTCTCTGAAAACTCTAGGGGAGAGAAGTTGACTCTTCTTGGATTCTGGTGGTTGACAGCAATCTTTGGAGTTCCTTGGATACTCCTCCAATGTAGGAGTCTTCTTGTGGTTTTCTCCTTGTGTTGCTGTCTCCGGGTAGCAGTCTTTTTTAGAAGAACACCAGTTCTGTTGGAGTAGGGACCTACCCTACTGAAGTGTGACCTCATGTTAACTTTAATTTCCTCTTGAATGACCTTATTTTCTAGTAAGATCATATTCTGAAATACCAGAGTTAGAACTTCAACAAATCTTTGGGGGGGGGGCATAAGTTAGCCTATAACAATATTCCATTCCTCTCTGCAAATAGCCTGAAGCTGAAATTGTCTTCACTCCACAGGCAGTCTGATCCTTATCAGCTATACCCTACTTCCTGTAATGGAAGAATTTTAAAACCAGGAGTTTTAATTGATTATTCCTCCTTCTTTTGTGCCCCCTTTTTTCCTATCAATTATCAGATCCTAATGGGGCTTCCAAATTAATATCTCTTTACTAATTCTCATCTGTTTGTCCACTGTGACCCCTTTTTTCTGGAACTACTCTTGTTTTCTAATTGCTTATCTATCTATACCCTCTCAAAGAGTCTCCACAATATAGTTAATGATCACTCTAAAGATAAAGCTTGATCATGTCAAGACCCTGCTTACAATATTTAATGACTTTTAATTGACCTCAAGATCAAGTTTCAAATGCATGTCCATTTTATCCTTTGAGACACACTTATCATTTTCGTTCTCTCGCATCTTTTACCACTTGTGATTCCTCTACCTCTCACTCCTTTCTCTCCTTTTCTGGCCTTTGTATAGTTCTTCAATGTTTGTGTCCCACACTTTTTGGTCTTCCCTTTACCACCAGTTAATTACTTCTCTTTCCACAATAAATTTAGACCGCAAATCCTCAACCAGTTTTCCATAATTAACCCACACTCTCAGTCAAGGCTGAATTAAACACCATTCCTATGAGCTCCTTGGCATCCCATAACTTTTACCAAAAATAATACATTTTACATTGCATTGTATTTTTCCAATTACTTGACTGCTCTCCACACTAGACTGTAAATTTTTGGAGGACAGGGCCTGAGCATTATCTATAACCGTATCATTGTATCCCCAGACTAGGACATTCCTTCATTC